TGAACCAGAATCATAAAAACTGTATTATTCGTGCTAAACGAATCTAATAAATGTCTGTTATTTTTGTCTCCTGCGAAAAAAATAGACTATAGGAATCTATCGAATACCTATATAAACAAAATATCACCTATAAATAAAATATTACAAAGCGGAATAACTAATAAGAGTGGCAAAGTCGCACTATACAAAGGAATTGCGTAGGTGGCACAAGTCGCGGGCTCGAACTCATTGGTGGGCGCGGCTAAAAAGCACGTTGTCTCACCTGGCATCGTGCCACTCGTACTAAATTATTAGGCGCTGCGTTATCGCTTTATACTATACCTCTTAGGCTCTATAGATACCTAATATAGATTGCTTATTTTATTATGTTTAGTTTTCCCCGGGTGGTCATGCAGCGATCACTCAAGAGTTCACGACGCCGAAGTATGAACTGGAACAGTCATCGCAGTTTATATCCGTACTAGCTGTTGCCAGCGGCTTCAAACGCGTGAACTCGAAAATTATCCCACAGGAACGAAATACCTGAATAAACGGTATCAAATGTGTTATTCCAGACTAGGTATAACCTATCTCTGAGCTAAATATCATCCAGATCCCTTCAGCTGTTCTGGCGTGATTGAGTAACATACATCTATCCATCCAAACTTTCGCATTTATAATATTTAGATAATAATTGTAATTAGTTCTGCCTACCTATAAATTGTTTTCAAAAATACTTACCCGTCTTCTTACTTTTTTTATATACACAGAATATCACTAGATGTAAACACATGTTTTTATCAAGACAAGTGACCCGTCAAGACTGTTTCCTTAGTACCGACGTAGTAGTAGGCAGGTAGGTAGGCAGTTTACATTTTAGTGTCCCCGACGCAGTGACAGTTTGTCAAATTTTGTTGTATAGTAGGTTATGGGTATTTAGGTAATAACAGTAGGTAGGTACCTATCCACCGAATCGTCAACGCCGCGCAAGTGATTCTCGTCCCACCTGTCCGCGCAGTAACTTTTTTTACGACCGCGCGAGACTGTCGCAACAAAAACGATTACTACTGAAAAACTAATATAGGTACCTACCTAACATTCAAATAAAAATATTCTCAAAAAGCTCAACGAATTCAGAATTTAATTTTGTTAAAAGAAAATTGGTCAAATAAAAAATAAAGGATGAAAATAAAGCATATGGGGATATAAAAATAAATCGTATTTATTTTTTATTTCGAGTTTTACAAGAAAAGTATAATATTTACTGGAGACAATTATTTTATTATTATAATAGTACATGATATTCCCTTTAAAATGACACCAATATGAATAATATCTTATATCTATATCTACAAATAAATAAAATTGAAGTGTCTGTTTGTAATGTTAAAACAACAGCTTTTTATTAAATGCATATGAAAGTACTAGTAACAAAAACACAATTTTTAAAATTTTTATCTATCTGTCGGTCTGTCTGTCTGTCTGTTTGTTCCAGCTAATCTCCGAAACAGCTGGATCTATTTTGACGGGACTTTCACTGGCAGATAGCTGATGATATAAGGAATAACTTGAACTACTTTTGTTTTAGAAAAGGAATTAGGGTTCCGCGCAAAAAAATTAAAACCCATGAAATCCATATTCCACGCGGGCGAGATCGCGGGGAACAACTAGTACTCAATATAGATAAATGTATACTTATTTTTATTTATTTATTATTTTAATAAATAAATAAAAATAAGTATTAATAATTTCTAGACACATCTCAACAGATATTTCGTTAATAAATTGTTATCAGTACTGAAGCATTCTTTTATATTTAGCATCCATTTAACACAAAAAACAAGAATACTTTTTAAACAACATATAATCAAAAAACGATAAACGCGTATAGTGAATTTCGAGGTAAATTATTATATGTAAACGTTTTTGAATCGTCGTAATGATACATATTTCCAAAACAAAATATCTTCACAATTAATTTGATGTAAAATAACATTAGAAATAACGTATAAAAACGGAGAAATTATCAAATTTTTGATCGAGTTCCCAACCAGTACACAAACAAAAATGGCGAATAGTCATTTTCACATTTTTTTAGAAATAACGTATAAAAACAGAAAAATGATCAAATTTTTGATCGAGTTCCTAACCAGTACACCAACAAAAATGGCGAAATGTCATTTACACATTTTTTTCTATATAGTTATTTGTTACAGAGTACACAGATAAAATTTACTCTCCTAGATGACAAATTTCAAACACCACAATCTCTAATTTTTTACTCTGCTATCTTCAGCGCTGTACACGAACGGAACGATGTCGTTGAGAGCCGTGGTTGCTCACATGGTTAGCGCTCGTTATAAGTATCACAGTACGGGAGCAACCCGGGTTCGATCCCCACTGGCACCAATCAGTTGGAAAGTCTGTTTTTCTGGGCCGTTTTGTTTTGTTACACTGACATCTCGCAAGTCACCTAGGGACCTAGGAGGTTGTCGGTTGCTTATTTTTTATTTTTCTTTAAAATTTTCGTCGGTAAAATAATATATTTATAAAAGTAAAAAAAAAAGTAAAGTTACAGCCTATATACGTCCCACTGCTGGGCACAGGCCTCCTCTAATTTCTGAGAGGGTTTTAAGCCAAGGAAATGTCCACCACGCTGCCTCAATGCGTGTTGACGAACTTCACATGTCTTCGAAATATATATTTTTTAATTTCTCAGACATGCAGACCCGAGTTCGATCCCCGCCGGCACCAATGAATTGCAATTGTGCTGATTTACCACATGCTCGGAGGTGAAGGAAAACATATTGAGGAAACCTGCACGTCTGAGAATATAATTATAATCGAATGTAAATCAAATTGACATAGGTAAGTACAGATAAAATTAGCGGAACATTAATAAAATTTTGAGATCGTTTTTTTTTCAAAATTTTATTTATATTCCGCTATTTTTGTCTGTGCTTATATCAATTTGATTTACATTCGATCTCTAAATTGTAGTTTGCGAGGGAAACGGGGATCCATCAGCTCCGGCAAAACACATTTCTGATAAAAGCTATCTAATTTTAAAATTTTGTCTGCCGTCCAAAACGCATCATCTCTTTCAATAAAATCAATTTCTATGCCAAATAGAGTAGTATCGAAATCCAAAGTTCAAGCAGGGGTCAATGTAGCGTAGTAATTTAGAGCGCAGGTATAGCTATAGTCATACGAACGTGACAGGCCGCAGCTGACTGAGTCGAATAAAACTAGAATAAGCGCGCGTCACCGCGCATGCATGTGTGTGTAAGTGTCGTCCTCCCGCACCGCACAGGGGGAAAAAAATACGAAAAGGCCTTTGGAAGAAGGGGTTTTATGAAAAAACCACAGCATAAATCAATTACAAATAAAATTTATTGAATTCTTCGATAATTGAGCTGTGTCGGTACCGACTTTGTCTTGGAAATTTTACACTGCTTTTATTACTAATTTACGCCCAAAGTTGTGTTAAAACTTCGAACTCTCGAGAAAGCGTGCGAAAAAGAACTTCGGTTCATTTTCGCACGCTTTCTCGAGAGCGACGCGTCGTGACTTGTTTACGCATTTACTTCAAATACCCCGCCCGCACACCGCAGGAAACATATACCTACAAAAAAACCGAACAAACTTCTGTCAGATAAGGCAGATCTTTGGTGTTTTTGCACCATAACCTGACTCTGGTAAATTTTAAATATGACTAGATAGACAAGAAAAGTTGGTTTAATATGATTGTTGAAAACAAATACCCTTTAATTGTAATAAAAAATACTTGAGATTAATGAATGTTGAATCAAAAACATCCAGATGTTTACTAGGAGAATACAAAGTTTATTTCATTTTTGTAATATGGCTAATTATTAATTAGGCAGGGATTTCTAAGATTAATAACTAATTAACTAAGATTAAGGTTAAGAACTAAGATTAAGATTAATGATAAGATAGGAACTGATTTAATATAAGTTAGACAATGCACGGCCTTCAAGCCACACCTCCGTGCCCGTTGGAGTGTGGAGCGTGAGGTTTTTTCGCTACGGCGGAATAAATTTCTGGATTCGGTCCCCACGCTCAAGGCCCGCGATAGAAGCTATGCAATAGCTTAGTAATGTACGAGTATGAAGGGCTGTAAAGATGATTATGATGATGATATTATCTCTATTAATGTAAAAGTAAGGTCTAAAATAGTAGCAGTATTAACCATTCAAATATTTGCTGAGAATGTCTATTGTGATGTATTCAGATTTTTTTTGTGAATGTAAACAAGACAAGTGAGGATACAATCCATCTGATGTTAAGTTAATGCTGAGAACCAGTGAATCTTATATCTGTTATCGATTAAGGATAATTTATAATGCAGATGCGTTTTCATCTCTGGGGACTAACATTGAATATTAACATAACTAGTAAGAAGGATCTCCAGTTTTTTTCACTCACTATAAGAAGCAAAGCAGAATTATGCTGCTAATTTACGCTAATATAAGAGTTTTCACCCGGTCGAGCCGAGATATTTGTTCATTAGACATAATGTAGCTGAAGCGTGGCTGTAGCATTTACACGTACACGTACTTAGATCTAGCTTCGCTTTTACTTTGTAGGTTTTTTATAGAATAAGCATAACAAACGGGCATATAGTCCATTTGATGGTAAGAGGATGCTGTGGCCCATAGACACCTACATCTATCCTCGATATATAAAATTATAATTATAAGAATCAAAATGCAGATGCATTGTCAAATCGAAGGACTAAGATGGAATGCCTTGTTTTTTTATTAAAAGGGTCTCCATTCATCTACACACGCCATTCGAAAAACAGCAGCATTAAGCTGCAATTTTAAGCTGGTATTCTGTGAAACCGTGATCCTTTCCCGGCCGATTCGTTCCATTCTTACTACAACCATATAGATAGTTGCTGTAGCATGGCTCTAAATAATTTAATATTTTTATGATATAGATAATATAATTTAACATTTTTCCCTAAATTTCAGGTTGGCAGTAATCATTTAGTTATGCAAACCGCAAAGAACGTGTTATATGGTGATTCCAAAAATTTGCAACCGTGGGGTCTGATTATACTTTTGTTATCAAAATCTGTAAAAACCTATGGATCTGTTTCACAGACGAAGTTAATAGATGAACAGCAAAGGGCACTGGCAGAATTGATAGAATTAATGAGAACTGGTCATTTAATCCATCGCGGCATTGTTAATGTTCCATTTGCAAAACGATCTAAGAACACAGAATCTGCCATTTTTGGTAACAAAATTTCCATTCTTCTTGGAGACTATCTTTTAGTTACGGCTAATACAATGTTAGCAGGGCTTAAAAATTCTGATGTCCTCTACATCGTATCATCTGGCTTGAAAGATTTATCTGAAGGAGAATTCTTTGGGGACAGGGATGAACAGAACATGCCATTACCGGGAAAGCCTAAAACTATGAATGACGATATTATAACTTTTGATGATATCTCCTTAGCATCTGATGATGTATTAGGAAAACCCAGAAAAGAATGGACTGCTCGAACTGTTTTTAATGGGGTTAGTTTGCTTGGCAGAGCTTGTCAATCAGCTATGCTTATAGCTAAACAAAATCGTGAAACTCAGAATTATGCTTATCATTTCGGATGTCATGTTGGTTTAGCTTGGCAAGCTGCTACGGAATTGCAGAGTCTGACATCTGATAGAAAGGATCAGTTCTGTTTAGCCAGTGCTCCAGTGCTTTTCGCTTTAGAAGGAAATCCCAATTTATATAAAATAATAGACCAGGCGAAAAATGACGTTAAGGATGTAGATTATGAAGATTTAAAATTTAATATTTTGAAAACAGATGCAATAGAAAAAACTAAAATGCTGTACGAAGACCACGCGAAGAAGGCTACGACGTATATTGAGAATATTGGAAATAATGAGTCTGTTGAAATGATTAAGAAATTGATAAATACTTTTTAAACAGACTTCTTCAAATAAAAAGCCTTAGTGAAGTGTTGTTATAATGGGCACGTTATTAAGTTAATCAAATATCGTACTATACTGGGTGAATTTTTTCACAGTCTTGAAAGAAATAGGGTGTAATAGGTGAATGAAATAGAAGCCTATGACACTGATATTTTATATTGTTTTATTTTACATTATTATTCGTATTATGAAATTATTCTATCAATAAATACTAACAATTTGAAATAAACTGTCGGTACTAAAAAAATAAAACAAAATTTTGAACTAAATAAATAAATCAATTAAAAACTATTGAAATTAAAATAATACGTACCCAATTAGTAGTATTTATAGATAGATCAATTTCACTTCTATTCCGTTCACCTGTTACAATTTATTATTTTCCAGACGGTAAAAAATTCATCCAGTATAATGATTATTTTTGAAGTCCGTATGTCAAGAGAATTTAGTTTTAATTATTTATATTTTTATTTAATTATTAGCTATATTTTCCTACGAATATTTATGATATTAATTTATTATACACTATTATTTTACATTCTTTTATCATTACATTATCTTATAGAAATCAGTATTTTATTTTTAGCTTTAATATTGTTACTATAAGTTAATAGGATAAGACTGATAAAAATAGTCGTATGCCTATAGTTATTTTTTATAAAGTATATGTTGTTATATTTATAAAATAAAATGCTACACTGTTAAATTTTACGTTTTATTTTTAAAATTATCACTAAAATATAAGTATTAAATTTCTTTAGTTCCGTGTAGTATGTTAAAATGTTATTTTTAACCCGTTAATAATCCACTATGTGATAAAGTTGAGGGGTAAAACCTACAGACACTAGAAGCAAAATATTTCCAGTGTATAAATTATTCGTAAACTGAAAGTTCACAAGGTATTAGGTTTTTTGTCTTACGCTTTTGTCACACTTTTCTATAGTGTTCATGTTTACATACATTACATTACAATACAGCCCTTATTAACAAGTCCGCTGCTGAACAAAGGCTCCCCAGAAGAAACACACCACACAGCACGGTCCGGCACCACCTGCATCCTTAACATATTTTACCAGCTCATCACACCATTTAATGGGGCTGGCGGGTTCACTTATCGGTTCGGGACTGTTACCCGCATACCTTTCTTTCCCATCGGCGGTCGGTTCTTCGAGTTATACGTTGTTAATCATGAATATGCTAATATGAAGTCATGGTTTAACCTTACCTTATGCTCAATATCACGGCTAACGGTGATAATCAAACGTTGACATTATAAGAGTATCATACAATTAACATGCACTTTGATGCGTTTTTTAAAAAATATTTTTAACGTAATTACGACGGGGGATAAGTCGCTCGCGTCCGTAGGCTTTGACCACCTCATCCTAGGCCCACCCTACACGTGTCCCCTGGGTGGTGCTAAATAAGCGACAAGCCGATGGCACAGACTCGGCTCTTCGCCATGGTAGCGGCGTTAAATATACTACCCTACATTTCGCACTATGAGGAACCGAATAAAAGAAATGGCCCCGAGTTCCCGGCGCCCCTTTAATGGGGCAGGGGTGCTAAGAATCTCCGGGAGGAAAACCGGCGACGAGGTTCGCCACCCGTCACGTGCTGTCTCCCGGAGGGGCGAAAAGTGGATTGCAGAGGCCCGTCTGGCTACGTTGAATGTATGTGGAGCAATGAATGATAAAATGGATGAAGTATGCGATATGATGTATGATAGAGGAATAGATGTGTTATGTGTAAATGAGACGAAACGGAAGGGGAAGGATGTCACTACACATGGCATGTATACCGCATACTGGTCTGGGGTAGACGAGATCGAGCGGGCATGCCAGGGAGTAGGTATCATCCTTTCAGAAAGAATGGGCCAATATGTCAGAGTACGAATGTGTAAGCCCAAGATTGTTATGGATACGAATGAAAGTGGGCTTAAAGAAGTTGTTTGTGCTAGGGGTCTACGCCGCATACATGTCTAAGCCCACTTATATCCGAGAGCAGTTTTGGGAAATGGTAAGGATGGTGTTAATGAAATGTAAGGAAAATGAAAATATTATTATGCTAGGAGATTTTAATGGAAGGGTTGGGGTGAGGAGGCTTGGTTATGAAAGGATATTGGGAACGTTTGGTGATGAAAGCATAAACGAGAATGGTGAAAGCCTCCTCACCGTATGTATGGAAAAGAATCTTTTTGTGACGAACACTTGCTTTCGCCACAAGAGGATTCACATGTATACTTGGGAAAGAGGTGATGATAGAAGCATGATAGATTTTATAATTGTGGATGAAAGAATAAGGGGCGCAGTGGTAGATACTAGGGTCTACCGGGGATCTAACGTAGGAACGGATCATTATTTGGTTTTATGCCGAATTAATGGTCTATTCAGGCGTTGGTGCCATCGGTCATCTATGTCTACCACTGCGTTACAGCGTATTAGAACAAAACGGCTACAAGAGGAAGGTGAGAAAAACAAGTTCAATTGTAGACTGAAAGAAAATATAAGTAGTTTGGATACATTATGTATGAATGAGTTAGACTTGGAGAATATATGGCAAAATGTTAAGAAAGGTTTAGTGGATGCAGCTACCGAAGTATGTGGTGTTAGTAAGAGAAAGAATGAAAGGAAAAATAATACGTTATGGTGGGATGATGAGATACGTATGGAAGTTGAAGCAAAGAAGAGAGCATGGCTAGATTTATTAGCAACAAAGGCTGGTAATTCTAGCGGTACGAATGATGATATTGAAAGAAAAAAGGCAGTCTTTAGACATCTAAATAAGAGAGTAAAAGAAGTAGTTTAAAGGAAAAAGCAAGAAAGAACGGATAAGAATGATAGAAGAATATCGAATAACTTCCAGGCGAATATTAAAATGTTCTGGAAACTCGTAATAACTGCAAGGGGACATTCAAAACAGCATATAATGAATGCTATAAGAGACGAGAATAGATTTTTCTGAATGATGAAGTTTTGAGTTTAAAGAGATGGAAGGAATATTTTGAAAGCGTGTTTATGAGTGAGGAGACGACGTATGAATTAAATTAAGTAGAAACTCCGAAATAAGAGGAAAGAGGTAGCGAGATAAGTATAGATGAAATAATGAAATCAATGAAAATCATGAAAGCAGGTAAGGCTGCTGGATATGATAGAGTTTCACTCGAAATGCTAAGGGCTGGTGAGGAAGTGGTGGCAGGCCTGCTGCACACCTTGTTTAATTTATGCTGGGAACTTAAGCGGGTACCGGTAGACTGGTGCAAAGCCGTGATAGTCCCAGTATATAAGGGAAAATGGTCGCAGCAGGATTGTAAAAACTACCGTGGTATCAGCCTTCTTAGCATTGTAGGAAAACTGTATGCTAAGGTACTGATTGAAAGAGTCATGAAAGAAACTGATGAAAAAATTTGGAATGTGCAAGCGGGATTTAGAAAGGGAATGGGATGTACAGATCAAGTCTTTTCCATGCGCATGATCGCGGAGAAGTTTTTGGCCAAAAACCAGAAGGTTTTTTGTGCGTTCATGGACTTGGAAAAGGCCTATGATAGAGTGGATAGGGATGTGCTATGGCAAACACTGAACTCATTTGGGTTGAGCGCTGGCTTGATACAGGCATTGGAGTCTCTTTATAGAGACTCTAGTGCTTGTGTTAGGATCAACGGGGTCTACTCGGACTGGTTTGGAATCCACAAAGGTGTCAGACAGGGCTGTGTGGCTTCCCCGTGGCTGTTCAATCTATTTATGGACAGTTGTTTGCAAAATTTGAAAGTTGAAGAATGCGGATTAAGAATGGGAGAGTTAACCGTCAAATACCTTTTGTACGCCGATGATCAAGTTATTCTTGCGTCATCGGCGTCCGAGTTGCAAATTATGGTTACATTAATGAACAGATCACTAAAAGAAAGGGGTATGAAAGCGAACGCGAGTAAGACGAAAGTTATGGTTTTTGAAAGAGAAGAAAGTAAAGCGATATGTGAAATAAGAATAGAAGAGGAGTTGATTGAGCAAGTAGATGAGTTTTTATATTTGGGTAGCGTATTTAGCAGGAATGGGAGATGTGATAAGGATATAGAACGACGAATGAATGCAGGCAATAGAGTAAATGGGGCCCTACACTCTATTGTGAAGAGTCAAAATGTGTCAAAAAAGGCACGTATGGCAATTCACAATGCTGTGTTGGTCCTTACTTTAACGTATGGTAGTGAAAGTTGGGTGTGGCAGAAGAAGCACGAGAGTAGAATGAACGCAGTAGAAATGCGGTCGTTAAGGAGTATGTTAGGGCTGAAACTGAATGACAGGGTGAGAAGTTGTGTGATAAGAGTAGAGTGTGGTTTGCAAGATGATGTTGTGACCAGGATTAAGAAAGGAATGCTTCGGTGGTTTGGTCATGTGAAAATATTGAATGAGGAAAGAATGACAAAGAATATTTATGTTGCAGAAGTGAATGGCAGAGTCGGAAAGGGACGTCGTAGGCGAAAATTTATTGACCAAATTGGCGATTTATTGAAAACGGGCCAAATTAAGAGCACCCTTAACCGACGAGCATGTATGCGTAGGTATATGGATGTGAAGGAGGCGAGAGAGGTGTGTCAGGGTCGTGCCAAATGGAAGTCTGTAGTCTCTGCCTACCCCTCTGGGTGACAGGCGTGAGTGTTTATGTTATATGTTATTATGTAATTATAAATAGTTTTTGAATTTTATTGTTTTAAGATAAAATAAAATTAATATTGGATATTATCAGAATATAAAGTGAACGATAACTTTATTTACGTATCCAGACCCCTCAGACTAAATGCCCCCGATTTATTTACTATGATATTCTCCACCATATGTTATCACTGATAACACGCATGGGTTGTTTTAACACACTTTTGTTTTAAAGTTTTAACACATGGCAAGAAGATGTGTCGCAATCTCCTGAATGTTTCCCAGCCGAATTCGATCCGTCGATTGATCTTTTTTTGGTCGAAGTTAGACTTACCACGTCCGACAATT